TTTGTATTGTTACGTAATCTGAATTTTCGAGAAACTCTCCACACGCTTATAAATATAACCAACGCGACGCGTCTAAAAAACAATATATATATATATATATATATATATATATTGGTTTGCTTTCGTTGGTATACTATGAACCTCAATAGCTATAATTGTGATTAACGCTTATTAATCTGGACACTTCAGATATTTGACCAAGAACATTTATAAATCTCGAACATTATAAACCATTTAACTTCATTGGATTCACATCGGACATTAGTACTTTTACGAATACATTATATAACTTCATTGGTAAAAAAAACAAACAACTCAAGCTCGACCTGTAATCGGCGTGTGATCAGCGAGGCCCATAAGGCTAGCTAGCTCCTTGTGAAGTGAATTGTACCTACGTCAACTCGAAATTAACTCGCTCATCCTGAACCCTCGATACGACATCAAAGAAGTTCCAGACTAGAAAGAAGACTGTATGTTGCTTGTAAAACTTTTGTATATAAATCATTGTTTTTAGTGGCTGTTTGTAATAACTGTTATTGTAAAGTGTATTATTGGTTGTATATTAAAATATATTTGTATTAAAAAATAAAACTGTGTGTATCAATCTTGTTGGCAAATATCATAAATTGGATAAATATCGGCATTTATTTATCTACTAAATCACAATTAATTCAGTTTTAGGCTATTTGAAATCGTAATACGTAACATTACAAACTGGCAGCTAATTGTAATGAAATTAAAGGAAAAAAATGAAGTTAAAGAGAAATGCTTTGTGATGGTTTTGTTTATTTAATCTGTGAGGTAATTTTTTTATACAAATGCGTTTCAAATACTGTTGAGATATAATACAGAAGATTTGTTTGTTTGTTTGAAGTTAAGCACAAAGCTATAGAATGGGCTATCGGTGCTCTGCCCGCCAAGGGTATCGAAACCCGGATTCTAGCGTTGTAAGTCCTCAGACATACCACTGTGCCACTGGGGGGGGGGGTAATACAGAAGAAAAGGATTTATCAAAACGAGTCAAACATAGATGTATAACATTACGTTTATTACGGTTTTCACAATACAAAACATTTAGAAGCGCACATTTTACAAACGCTTATATATATATATAGTAACCTATATCTTATCACTCACAAATAAACACATATTTATTCATCAAATGCTTTTCGTTGGAATTGACATAAACCTGTCACAAATGAATAATTCAGTGAAATTGGATTTTAACAATAACATTTTGAAATTGGTTTTCTAAAGGTGGTCACAGGCAGTGTTTATTTTACACAACTTCGATATATCTTTTGAATTAATTCATTAATTCATATTTGCTGGAAAGTAGACAATGTTTCAGTACCTTTGCGCCTGAATCCTAATGAAAGGAAACGGGGGAAACCGAAATTTCATTTCTTTTCCAGCATATTTAAATGAAAGACACATTAATACAAAATAGCTTCAGGTTATTTAATAATTGTATACATACATTTAGGTTACTCTATACTTCAGTTTTGCTTAAGCCTAAGTCATATCCGAAGAAGAAAAGTCTACCTCTTCAACGCTCTGGGTTATTGTTGAATTGTGATTTCTCTCCCACTGACTTCTTAGAATCAATGTTTATGAATACACACAGCGTTCTAATTAATTTCAGTAAACTTGGACTTTGTAAATACTTTGCAATAGGCATTTTATTAGAGTGATATTTAATACGATTGTTTTCGATTCATATACATATATATTAATAGCGTGTATGCACTTGTTCAAATAGTTAAGTTAGATTTCGAAAATAAGAAAAACTAATTCACATTAAATGACGTGACCGTTGAAACTTGAAAATTTAAGGGTTAAAAGGTTAAAGTTAAGGGTCAATCGGAAGTAGCAATATAAAAAGACGTGCACGACTAAACAAAATTACCAAATATAAAACAAAGTTTCGTGATTAGCTAAGACAAAATGTTTTGCGACATGTTAGGAATACTGTTCTTAAAAATAAGATAAGCACTTTTCCATATATGATGAAATTTCATGTAACCATTAACAACATAACTGGAAAAAAAACTTTCGGCTGAAACAAAAAAAAATTCAAAATGATGTTTTTATTTGATTTTTACATGACCACGTGTATTTATGTTAGGACAAGATTATTATATTTATCACAAAATTTCACGAAGTTAAAGTTTAACATATATAAGTGATGCATATAAGTAAATTTATATCATTTATAACGTTTCTTGTAGGATGCTCAATTTCCACACACACACACACAAAAAGCTTTAAGCAGCATTGTGCATCTTGGCTATGACTCGCCAACATACCACTGAGTTTCATCAGCTTTTACCTTTTTTACAAGGTGTTGATGAAAAAAAACATATGTTTTATAGTAAAACAATTTTAGAAGTTTTAAAGGAATATACATCGATATGTTTTGGAAGCATTCCTATTCATAATGATATGTTTTTTAGTAAAACAATTTTAGAAGTTTTAGAGGAATATACATCGATATGTTTTGGAAGCATTCCTATTCATATGATATGTTTTATAGTAAAACAATTTTAGAAGTTTTAGAGGAATATACATCGATATGTTTTGGAAGCATTCCTATTCATAATGATATGTTTTGTAGTAAAACAATTTTAGAAGTTTTAGAGGAATATACATCGATATGTTTTGGAAGCATTCCTATTCATAATGATATGATTTACACCCTGATAGAAGTAAGTTGCTGAATTAGTAACACGCGTAATTTCTATAACTTAAAAGCGTAGAGCTATTAACACTGTTCTTGGGAGAAAAATGGCCATTACTGTCCTTTACGTACAATTTATAATATTATTATACGATATTGGCTGTATCCTTTGGATAAAGTATTGTTATACTTTAAACACGTGGAGTTTTAGGATAAGATTCCAAATATTTTACTGTAGACCTTTTAGCCAACTATTTTGTATCTATTCTATTTCATTATTTATTCTCGTTTTGCTTCACATAAAATACAACGAAGACACAAATACGTGACTACATGTATACATAATAGCTTTGTTGTTAAAAGCTTTAAATATACATTAAACACCATCAACTACAGCATCTGCGGAGCACATACTCTAGCGCTATCTAGTGTATATCCCGAATATATATATATTAAGTAAAATATATCACGTAACATAAATTTAACAAGCTAACAGTGTTTTCGTCACAAAACAACATTTAATCGCAATTTTGATTATTATAATTATCATTATTATTTTTATTATTGAATCAAAACTACGTTCAATAACGATACTTGCACTTCCAGCACAACGCTTTCTAAACAAATTAGCACAATTCTAAGCTTAAAAAACATTAATATTAGGCTAAGTACAAAGATTTCCACAATGCTCAGGTATATAGTTTAAAGTAAGTCCTCAAGGATAACCGTACCTTTCAAAGTTTGCCTTTTTTAAAAAAAAATCAAAATGTTGACCGTTGTTGTAGTTTTTCATATATATGCTGCTTCTCCATCTATAAGCATATCACAGCAGCAGTTGTTTGTTCAAAAGCATATTTATAATACTTTGCAAACGTTTATTGTTTAGCCTACCGACAAAATTTTGACCAAACAAAAGGAGTAAAAATATAAACCCACACGAATATTTGTAAACTTTCTTTATGCTGTAGGCAGTGATGTTTTTATATCTATACTAGTCACCAACAATATATCTATATGATCTCTTTGAAGGACTTTATGTCATCTGTAAACTGATTATGACGTTATAAAAGCTAATTATTATATATCAAAGTATGATATCCGAGTTAGTTTTCCGATCAAAGCTATCCATTTTTTTTCGTAATAATAATAATTTGTGTACATTTGTTTACGCACGCACACAAACATACACAAAAGAAATGCATCTCTGATTATTTGATCGTTAAACATAAAAGGGTTATAAACTGATTTTAGCAGCATAGGTGGCTTACTTTACATAATCTTCAGTTCAAATTGTAACTTCAATAATTAGCAAAAGCGTTATGAAAGCTTGGCTGTTACAGACTGACGTGAGACTGATGTTAGTTTTAGTTACAATTGAAGGTCGTTCGATTTCTGCAATTAATTAAACATATTATCTAACTCTCATATCACGAAGCATGGGGTCAATATTAACTTATCCCGCCAGCATCCTCAGTTCTGGACACCAAGTGGTTACTTTCAATAAGAATCATCCCTACCTCACTTAGACTCACCACGTATTTCATTATATATTAATCTTACACATCGCTGGTTTACCGACTGTACCAACTTCCAGCTTACTGGGAGTGAGGGAATAATATTCTATGAAGTGAGATATTGCACTTAACAATAGTATTCTTATCATCTGTGTAATTATATTTACCAACACAATTCTTATCGCATATTTGTTTACATCCAACAATAGTGTTAGAAAACGCACAATAATAGAACACAGCGTAATAAATTATCTATTGAAACATTTTCTACGTTATATTATTTCAGCGGTTGATTCCTATCAATACTTAGCACAAGCTCAATGTAACATGTTTGTTACGCTTCTTGATCACAAATTACGGAATATATTGCAAGTCTTTATCTTCACTTGATCCTAAATTGGGCTATAAATAAAAAATAAGATATCGATTCTTCTATATCTACCTTCACTTGAACCAACTCTTGCTAATCACACAGTGTGCTGATGAGAGAACCGTCCTCCAGCGGTCATAAGGTTTGTTTTGTTGCTGTTGGTAAATTATTGTTGTACTTGGTTTCGATGAAAGCTTTAAGATAATTTCTATGTTAGAACTAACTAGAAATCCGGATAATATTTACACTAACATTCTATTAACTTTCAAAATACCGTTTTCAGGTTCGGTTAAATACAGCTTAGGAGAGCAAGAAAGGTAAAAGAAAATACTGATTTGATTTATGAAGTTAAACTTTTTTAATAAACTAACTTATGATTTTCATCGCCATCTGCTAGCATCATAGGATTTTAGCACAAATGCAGAAATTTAGTTCTTAACTTGTGAAGACGAACTTAAAAACATTCTGTTCAATCCACAAAGAAGCAAAACTCCGTTTACGTTTTATAGATAGACTGGATAACCAGTAAACTTATAATCACGTTTTGGATTTTTTAATATACAAAACCACTTTGCCACACTTGAATTATTTATATCAATTGACAAATAGGTAGCTTTATTGAGACATTTTGTTAACGATGTCGCGACATTAGTTCTTTAAAAAAACTACGCAGTTTATATAAACGTATAACTGAATTCAGCAAGATAGATACAATAATTTTTGTTGTCGTATAGACTGCTTGGGGATGAATCTAATATCCTTTATTTGAACATCAAAATCTGGATATTAGTATACAATGTAAGATAACGGAAAAAGTAATTTCTTATATTGAGCATATATTTGGAAAAGGAAATCGTGATAGCCTGAATATATCTAGACACGTGGTTACTTAACATTACGTCAAGTTCTGTTTCCTCTATTTTTCCTCTTTCACAAGTAGTGTTGATATATTTAAAGTAAAATATATAAAACACAAAACTAAGTTTTCTTTACATTAGACTCACTTTATCAACTCGTAAGATTAAGACATTCATTCAGATAAATAACATTCTGATCCTTCTTATCAGTTGCCAACAGTATAGCGCAGCCAATCGAATGTGTGCTGTGAGTGTATTTGGATTATATTCTCAGTTATTACAGATATTTAAAAATATTTGATATCAGAAATGTGTATCGTTACTATATCTATCATAAATGTATAGACTTTCATCAAACTAATATATCTAATTTGAAACGAAAATTTGGAAATGGGACCAATCTACTTAGCGTAATTCGTTTTAAGCAGCCATGAATTACTTACAAAAAATTATATGTATATATATATATATATTTTGTACTGAGCTTTATGAATAATAATAAACTACATTCTGTTGTTAAATACAAAAGTCATGGTCTTCAGCTTGATAAACATTAAAACACCGTGCAAAACAAGATTCTATGCGTAGGCATTAATAGTCCAGGGTTTCCGAAAATATACAGCAACATGATAAACTGCGCCCTCTAATGGCAGAACATCGACAAATCAAGCATGCAACATTTCTTATCATAAAATTAAAATTAAATATTAACGTTTAGTTTAATCGTTGTATAACTGTTTCCTATCCAACTTCTTCGTGGCAAACTTCCATATAGTTAGGATCTCTAAAAACGTCTTTTATCATTTCTTTCAACATAGTATAGCGAGGAATGACAGGATAGGATTTGGTATCTACGTAAGCCACGTTTAATTCATGGACGATGTTTTTAAGGTTGGAATATTTCTTCAGCAGCCGGTAAAGGTCGTTGATGAGTTGTTCGTTTTCTGCTTCAATATCCTGAGTACTAACTCCTAGCAAAATGAGAGAAAACATTATTTTCTTCGTGAATGAATGATGGATTACTTCAGCTATTTTTATTTGTTAAAATACATAACACCACAACACAACTATGAACATTTTAAATTATAGATTATCTCATCAACCTTATCACAGAAGTCAAACTTCATATATTTAGAATCGAATGGGTTATAAATAGGTGTTTTTTCTTGTACTTTTTTCACACCATATTATAAGCATAATACTCTTTTTTTCTGCGGTTTCAACAGAATCTATTGAATTATGTATGTATTTAGCGGCGCCGCCATATTATAAGCATAATACTCTTTTTTCCTGCGGTTTCAACAGAATCTGTTGAATTATGTATGTATTTAGCGGTGCTGCCATATTATAAGCATAATCCTCTATTTTCTGCGTTACAACAGAATCTGTTGAATTATGTATGTATTTAGCGGTGCTGCCATATTATAAGCATAATCCTCTATTTTCTGCGTTACAACAGAATCTGTTGAATTATGTATGTATTTAGTAGCGCTGCCATATTATAAGCATAATCCTCTATTTTCTGCGTTACAACAGA